TGTATGTAGTCGTAACTTCCTGGCTTCCCTGGGGACTCCTGGGAGCTACTGTGGTTACTATGCAGAGATGGTTTTCTGTATCGAAAAGCTGCAGGGAATATTATCTTGGACTGATACTCTATTCACCTTCTGAATATTTTAATAATCTGCCACGTTTATTTGTACATATCAGTGAATTAAAAAAATAATATGTGATCTTCAGTTATTAGAGAGAAGCCAATTGATTCCCTGAAACAGCTGAAAATTAGTTCTTTTCTATTTCCTCTGTTGATTTGCAGTAAATCAACTTGATACTTTGCACAAGGGTTTTCTTCTTCCCTGGTAATTTTCTGCTGTTGTAGGAAACAACAATCTCTAAGCCTGGACTGCTGTGAAGCCTTGGCTCCCGTGAAGGGCAAGCAAAGATTGCTTTGCTCTTGCTTCTGCTTTTTTCTCCTGCAGAAGAGGTGTCAGTGGAAATTCTCCAATAGACTAACTCCTCAGTGAAGAGACATACTTAGAAAGGGAAATGTTCAATGCTGAGGTGTGTTTTTCACCATGCCCAGAACTGAAGGCCTTGGTGCAAGTGTTTTGTTGCTATGAGGTTTGTTGGCACGTGTTCCCTGGAGACCATGCTCCAGGTGCCCTGCAGACCAGCTAGCTTATGCTTCAGTTATTGCATCAGGTTTCATCAGCTTTTTAATTAAAAAAACCCTGATACTTTTAGTTGTTTTGGAAGGTTGGCAGTCTAGATCTTTATTTTTCTCTGTTTACATTAGTCCAACTTTGCTAGGGAAATTACAGTACAGGGTGCTCAAAACTATTGCCAATGTTAATCATTTGCACATTACTCTGCTCAAACAATTGTTAAAATCTATCAACCTTGGTATTTCATTTCAGATTTAAACATTATTTACTTAGCCATCAAACCAAATTGTTGCTGCAAGTGAACTATTGGATTAATATTTTTGTTACTCAAGACACTGATAGTAACCTAGGTTGTTATGGATATATGATTTTTTTGCTTTATTCAATCAGAGATATCTAGGTTGTGAAATTAAAAAATACAATACATAGGAAACAAACCAATAGGAATTAAAACCAAATACAACTGATTGACCAAAAGTACATTTGGTTAAATTTGTAGTGACAAATAAACAGACAGTATGAATCTGTCTTGTATGATACAATCACTGGCCCATACTGCACTCTTAAATTACCTTTAAAACTGTCCTTTAGCATTAATTTTAGGTGTTTTGGAAAAAATAATCATCAGCCTATGCATGTTTACTGAGTGGATGAATGAAACATTGTAACTGAAAGGGATGAGCAGGCATATTAAGTGGGTTTAAATCTTTGCTCTACAGAAAAGTTGAACAAAACTGACCAAATGCAGCATACTGCCAGTGAAATCTTTGTCTTTAAACCACGCAAAGTCAAATGGTGGGGGAAGTGCTGAATCATAAGGGAGAATACCCAATTATTCTTGTGCTTGGATTTGTCCTGGCTGCCACTCAGTTAACCCACAACCTACTGTCCTACAATCTACTTTTAAAATATTTTTAAGTAATCTTACAAAAAACATAAGCATAATTCTCCACAGATGGCAGAGGAGATATAACAGTGGTGAATGTGTCTCCATTTCTTTCCCTATTGACACTGGTTTTCATATTTGAAGCAGGTGTATAATTTTAGAACAGCCTTATGGCAACATAACATAGTCAACGCAGAACAACTTCATTATCTGCAATAGAGTTATGTTGAAGGTGGATTCTAGTACAAACCATTTTATTATTTTTTTCAGCTAACAGCAACCTTTATACTTTGCAAATACACTTCCAACACAGTTTTGCTGCAAATTTCTTTACTATTAGTATTGAAAAGACTCAAATGTTTTCACGTCCTAAGAGAAAAAAAAAATCTAACTTTGCATTCAACATAAAATATTTGAAACAATAAAGTTAAACAGAACATTCCTCAATGTCATACATTTTATTCTTGTGTCTTTGTTGGAAACTCTGATCATGCCACATTAATAACTAGTATATAGTCCAAAAAAACGGAATTTTTTAAACCTACTTTTACCTATCATCAAATATTCCCAAGAACAATGTGTTTCACATACATTTTAATTTTCATCACAGCTTAGCCCATATATAGACAATTATACCATGCTGCATTTACTGTTCTGTACATCTTTTTTGCCAAAAATATTATATAGAAGACTTCAGATACCAACTGCTCTGCTAAAATCAAACTACTTATTTCACCAGTATCATGTGAAAGTTTAATGACATATAAATACATCATATATGTTGATCAGCAGCATAAACAAGCATTTACATTTAAACAATAGAATCTAATTTATCACATGAAACTTCTCTTGTGTAGTTCTGTTTATATTTGTTTGAGTGTAACTGGTGAGTGTTAAAGGTTATTTTGAAACAACTTTCATTCAAAGATCTAAGAAAGGTTGGTTGCCTAGCATTTTAATATATGGTATTTCTCTGTTTGCCAAAGTGATTCTTCCGGTGCTTTTGTATGAGGAATGCATGCAAAAGTATTACCCAAGGAGATAAAAGAATAAGGTTTTGTATTTAAAGTAAAAATGAAAGAGAAATTTATAATGAAGTTATCTAAATTTTTGTGGTACTGAATGTTAGGGTATTCTTTACAGGGAAAAGGGGAGAGAAGTGGTTTCTTGCTTACAGTAGCTGTCTAATCATGTTTTAAATAAGGTGAAAGAGAGACAGAACACTCTTTAGTGGACCTGCATATTTATCTCAGCATGGCTTGATGAAATGATCAGTTCTGATGCTCTAGAATGGTTTTGTGAATTATCCAGTCCTAGATCACAAATACTATTGTGATCTAGGTTCCTTATTTTTCCAGTTGCAAGTTGCATGTGATTTTTGTTAAAAAATGTGCTTATAACCGCAGAAGTTTTTCAGCAGATGCAATGACTGGAATCAGAGCATAAGATTTAATTAAGGAATTCAGGCCACTGTCTTATGTATGCTATACATATGATAGTAGAATAGTAGATAGCAGAATGCAATATATGTGATAGGGAGATATATATATATATACACACACTATTTATATATAATATGAATATAATGCATGATTACATTGCACCCTTACATATATATAATATATATAAGGGTGCAATGTAATCATGATTGTTCAATTAGAACAGTATTAGATTTTCCACCAAGATTTAGGGTATTAGATTTAGGGCCAAGAAAAAGAAAAAAAAACAGTTCTATATCACAGCATTTTTGCATCTTTTTTGACGTAAGTATTTCTTCTCCATTCTGCTCCTGAGCATATATTACATGAAGGCTTTATTCTGCACAACCAGTAGTTAAACTCAGAAGTTGTTATGCTTATAGTCACATACACACTTTGCAAATGAGTTAGCTTTGACATAGATAATCACAGAAATAAGGGACAAATTGTAGATTGCAGCATTAATTGCAGCCTGCCCCTGCGTAGAAACCATATGGTGGCACATGTCTCATTTATGCTCCCTATATTCCAAAGGCTCAATAAAATCAACCTACCAAAAAGTATAAACACTGCACATGCCTACAGAGAAATAGCTGCTTACAGTGCTTTTTACCTGATTTGTCCCTGGGGTTTGCTTGAAGGTATTTGCAGAATATTAAAATGAGCTCCCTAGACCACAGGAGTATGGGTAAGATAAGAATTATTTTGATTGATTAGCTAATTACCCCAAAGTACTGTAGTTTATAGTTTGCATATTAAGAGGCATAGTATTAGGCGGTGGAGAGAATTAAAAAACTTTAAATACATCAAATGGAATAAATGTGCACAATTAGATAAAAAAATTTTTAGAAGTCTTTTTTTTTTTTTTTTTGTTTGCTATATATGTTTTGTGGTGTGGAAGACAAAGATGTTTATTTCTTTTTTTATTTATTACAGTTTTTACCACTTTTGCTTTCATTGTATTCATTCTGACTCTTCTGGGATTTTTTTCTATTTGACTTGCATCTTTTTTTTATTAGTGTCTGTGGCAGTACTCTGATAACTGGTGCGATCCATGGGCTTCTGTTAATACAAATGCATGGATAGAGAGCTACTGCTGCAGCTTCCCACAGCTCTATGGAAGCTTTGTGTTAAAAGTCTTTTCCTTGGGCCAATTTTGTAGTAATATTTTTAGTTATGGATTTCTAAGTCATGAAGATATTCATATTTTTTGAGAAATCTTGTTTTGAACAACTACTGGAAATTAGACTCAAAAACATTTGATATCAGTACACTAAAGACCACCTATCCTCAGAAATAAAGTTAAGAGAAGATCCTGAAGATAATTTAACCCTCAGACAAATACAGAAAATGTTATTGGCCTGGAAACATAATAGAGATAGATAAGTATGATTTTATTTCTGTTATATACAGATAAATAAACAACTGTTAGCTGTAAGTGCAGCTGCATACAATTTTCAGACTAATCTAAAGCTTTTCAGACTACTTAAAACTGAAGATAGTGAGTAAATATCTACAAATGCTGTTATTGAATGCTGTCTTCTTTTAAAGCAGAATATTTCCATTTATTTAGTGAAATCACTCTAAACAAAAGTAATTTGAAATGACACATATTGAATAGGTTAATTCTTTTGTTATCGTTACTTGGTCTCTGCGTTTGAGACCTGTATATTTACCGTGGTTAAAATGCTTTGATGTGATGGTGAACTAAACACGTTATTTTCCTCTAATGTTTGCCTGCACTTGTGTTATGTAAAATCAATTCAGAAAAAAAAAATCCTTCTATAGTCTGTGTCAAAGACATGCTAAGATTAAATACAATACTTTGCAAAAACATTTATTTCAAATTTGACAATGTCAGGTTTAGAAACTCTCCAGTGCTAAAGTAATATGAAAAGGATGTTTTACTTACAGGAGTATATTTGTAACTTCAAACATAAGAGAAAGAAATACAACTTTACACTTCATCTCAGTATGCTTTTGGAAATAGGAAAACTAAATCAAGGTACCTGGTTCGGTGTAGGCAACCAGATTAATTACTTTGAAGAACGAATCCTGCTCCATTGGCTGCAAGAAAAGGTGAATATCAGTCAGCTGAAGATCCTCACATTTTCCTGCTAACTAGCTCTTCGGCACCACCCAGTGCCTAACCCTGAATATGCATTTCTTTGTGATGCACAAAGTGCTAATGAAACCTCAGCCACAGCCATAATGGCACATCAGCCAAGGAGCTGAGCAAACTTGTGGTCAGGACTACTGCTGTAATTTACGTTCTGTAGTGGCCGCATGGAATGTTGTTTAGATTTGAAACATATGTTAGCTCTCCTGAATTCCCTGAGGAGCAGCATCATGTTGTTAATGCTCCACAAGTTTCATTTATTTAGCTTGTCTTGTGCTTCCTCATGAAAACAGGTCATGTGAACATCCTATTGCTCCGAAAGTATTTAAGACCTGTTCAACACACAAGCATCAAACCCTCAAAAATTTCCTTGTTTTTTAAATCAAAAAGAGTTTTTTGATATTTTAGATAGCTTTACAGCATAGACGAGCAGAATACTCATTCAGTGGCAGTGTGTCAGAATGGTTTTGATCTGCTTCTTTTTCAAACTGCTGGCATAAAACAAAGCAAGAGCTGAGAATCCTCTGTTTTATCCAGAAGCTCAGTCCTAAGATCACAATCCTTGTAAATATGCTTATTTGTAAAAAACTCTGGAAAAAAATATTGAAAGGTGAAGTTTGTCATTACACTGTTCTGTACTGATGCTTGGAGAAACCCCTGTGTATCATTATCACCAGTGATAGGAGGGCAACTGCTTTTTACTAACCATTGTTTTGATTCATCATGATTATTCCTTCTTTCAGAATATTTAGGGTAAAATATTAGACTTTGTGCAGCTCATGCCTATTGTACAATAAATGTCAACTGCCTTGTCTTCAATGGAGTACTTGTACTTTGAGAGTAAAAAATATTTATATTCATTCCAAATTTATCTTATGCCAGGTTTGTTTATTTTTTCCACCCACTTTGTTTATTTTACATATCTACTAAACTTTGGAGATTTTGCCAAAAATCTCCAGAGATTTTTGCAGTGCAAATGTTTATGAAATTTCATTTTCTGTAGAAAAATAGCAAGTTTTTCCATTCTTTCCTAAAGCTGATTTTAATAAGAGACTTAATGCAGATCAACACCCCACTGAGCAATACTTTATTCACTAAGCATCTAATAAGCTTTTTGCTAAGTTGCTGAATTGGGAATAAGAAGAACTCAATCTCCATAAATTGACCTTTTAGCTTCAGCTGAGCAGCTCTCTCCTGAATAATAATTGTAAATAAATAAACCTAAACAAAATGACAACAAGCATAAACCAGTGCACAGGAAGGCTGGGCAGTTTCATGAAGAAAAATGTAAGCTAAATCCAATGATGAGAGTGAGGCAGGGGGAACTGGTGTCCTCACCAACAAGGGTGCAGTCTGGCAGGAGTCATCAGAGGAGACAAGCTTGGGTAAGTTGGCCCTGTGGTGCCCATGTGAATCCACAGGGGCAAAAGAGGTCCAGGTCCAAGCCTGTGAGTCTTATCAGCAAGGTCAGAATCAGCAATCAGCAAGATAAGGGAGCAAATGGCACAGGAATGTCCACGGCACAGCGCAGAGAAGGGACAAGGCTGACGGCTGATGGCTGCAGAGCCTCCTGACGTATTCAAGACATCAACAAAAGCCAAACTTAATTTTTAGTGGACCAAATTCACATTCAGGTTTTTTAGTGAAAACATGCAAAAATAAGAGATATAAAGAGGAGAACTGCAAATATTTGATTTGGCAGAGCATGTCCCACTAATGCTGATTATTTATAAAGAAATTTAAAAAGATAACTTCCCAGAAATGTCAGCTTTTGTGCAGCTTCGTTTTTACATAAAGAGCAGGTGATGCAACATAAGTGCGTGATGTGTGAGTTCCATCTCCTTCTCCTTTACAGAATCTCCAGGGCGACATTTCCTACCTCCTAGTCTGTTCCCTCCTGTGTCCTACAAAATAAGAAAAGGTGTTAGATGATCTGGTGTTGACAACATGTCATCAGGAAACTTCACCTGTTCCTCTAGCTTCCCTGATTGAAGAATTCTTTACTCACTTGAGGAAAACAGTAATTTCCTAATCCTTAGAAAACCCCACCACTTTAAAAGACTTAGTATCCATGGCCATTCCAGTTAGAGCCCTTTATTCATCCAAGAAGCTTTGGTATTCTCCCAGGAAATGCCCTTCCAGAGGCGTAAAAGAAACTCCAGCTAACAAACCAGGGCCCCTAATTTTAAATTTCAGGATAGTGTTTCTTCCAGAAAATGTTGGCAAACAAAAAGGTGTTGTATCATCAGCCTTTTTTTTAAATTTTAAGTTTTTCTTTGAACCAATGTTCATATTCCGAACAGATTAGTCATATCAGCAGCTTTTGGAACTGACATTTTTTTTTCTCTTAGTGCTCTTATTGCTGGAAGCATCAATGAAATTTTACTAAGCTTCAATATTTATTTGATTTATCAATCTTGTTGATATAAGATTAAATTATTTTAGATTCAGAAAGTTATTTTGAAGAAAATCTGGTCATAAATGAACTAGATAAATGGTTAATTTTCTTAAATTATGAAATTAACTATTACTATATTGCTTCAGATGAAAATATTGTTTTTTTCTGGACTTAACTTCAGTTCAGGTTAGAACTGTCACTGATCACATCATTTAGTGTTTGCCACCTACTCTGGAAGCACTGAGGCTATCCCACATTTTTAACAACAAGAGTGGAACTCACAGGGTGTTTTGTTCCAGTTACTACCCACTGCAGACAGATGTAAGTCTTCTCCCCACTTGGAGATGTAAAAGTCTGCCTGTGTACTTACTGCAACACTAGGTCTGAAAGACATGTAAATAAGCAAAATTATTCTCAGTGCAATTGGAGGAATAGAAAAATGTGATTTCACTACTACCCTTATGCAGCGAATGGTGTTTGGTTTTTTATATCACCTACAGATGGATTTCCATTCCAAATGCACATGAAAAAACATAGAAATATCACGTAGATGCTAATTTTTAGGGATAGAAAAAAATCACAAAATATTCATCTGCAAGTTCACCAAGCATTTCTACAGGCTTTACCAAGGTACGTTTTCCTTTTGTACATATTCTGATATAACTTTGACATGTTGCCCAGTCTTTTTTCCTCCTCTTCCCCTATATCATCTATCTTCATGCAGCTTCCCAGAAGGATGAGTTGCTTCAGCTCACTGATGGCAGAAAGTACACTTCTCAGCATGTGGGAGGGAAGAGAGGATTAATTTTCTATCAAGTGAATGTGTCAGCCAACTCATCCTGTGGGCTCAAGCTTGCAAGGGAAAAGATAGAAGTGTGTACATGGTAAACAGGACCTTTCAGCAGCTGAATTCAGCTGCAGTGAAAGACTGTCCTTGTCACTCTGCAGTTAAGAGTCCAAGAACCAGGATAAATTACTTGGAAAATCTTCAACAGAGATCACATGGCCAATCAGTTTAGTCATGTGTGAAAGGTTTTATATTTGCACCAGTCACATTGAGAGGTGGGCAGCTCCCTGAATAGACATCAGCCTAGCACATGCCCTCCTCTGCTCTGGTAATGACTTAAGCTATGACTTCCTAGTTGTGATGGGTTAACTTGACTGAAGGTCAAACACCCCTCCAGACACTCTTTCACTCCCCCTTCTCAACAGGTCAGGAGGAGAAAATGAGATGAAAAAACAAATGGCTGAGGATAAAGACAGGGAGATTACTTGCCAATTGCCTTCACATGCAAAACAGACTCAACTTGGGGAAACTTAATTTGTTTTTTACTGGTTAAAATAGATTTGAATTATGAGAAAAAAATATAAAAATAAAAAGATCACTCTTCCCTGTTCCTTTTCCTTTCCAAGCTCAACTTAACGCATCTTTTCCAGCTTTGCTTGCTGTTAACCCTTGACTGGTATGGAAAGATGGAGAAGTGGGTTGTGGTCACCCTTTATCATCTTCTTCCTCTTCTCACATCTCCTCTGCTCCATAGTGGATCCTGTTAATGGACTGCAGTCCTTCGGGGTAAACCCACTCCAGCATGGATTTCTGTAGAATCTCAAATGTCTGCTCCTTTGTTGTGTCTGCATCAGCTGCAGGGGAAGATGCAGCAGCATTTTGCCATTTCTTAAATATGATTCCCCAGGGGTATTACCATCTTGGCTGAGGGGCTCAGCAGTGTCCTGTAGTAGATCCAGTGAAGCTGTCTGTCTCCAGCGTGGAGGGCAGCTCCTGGTCCCAAGTAACATGCTCCATATCTTATGGATGAATTGCACCAAATCATGTTGTTTACAGTATTTTCAAAGCATAAACAGTCTGTCTGTGAAGGCACTAAATTTCCCTAGGGAGTGTTGGTTTATCTTCATAACAATGTTTTTAACCTATGAGGTCATTGTGGACATCACTGACAGTGATGCTGTGAGTTACCCAGATCTGCATGACTGAGAGATGGATTTCAAAGAAGGGGTGTAAAAAGTAGTCTAAGTAAGAAGCTAAAGTAAAAAGAAGTTGAAGTTCGAGTAAAAATACGTTGAAGTTGAAGTTGGAATTGAAGTCATTGAAGTTGTTTATTGTTTTCACAATTTAGTTTTATATAATGTCGTGGCTCCAAACAGTTACAGCTCTAAGCAGTCATATCCTTAAGCAAAAATTTTCCCACTAGTTACAGAATCAGCCTAGTGTTTGTGTTACTTGGCAGCCTTACAAAACTACATAGTTTCAAAAACCTCAATATCTGCTCATGCTGTACTTTCCCTGTTCTTGTCATACCTGTTGGCACTTATCCCATGGCCTGTATCCCGCCAAGGCCAGGATATCTCTCTGTATAAGCTCCACTGTGCTTTCTGTTCTGTCCCCTATTTGTTCTCCCATAGAACAAATTATGTGATTTTTAAAAGATTTATCTAGAGATTAATCTTTATTAAAATTTCTCCATTCGTACTTAGACAAACAAGCCATTTACCAGTCCCACATACTTTTCCTAAAGTAGTTTTTTCTTTAGCCATACATCATTCTTCTACAAGACCCACTTCTTAGTGAGGCATTATAGATTTTGTTATTCTTTGATTTCATGGTTTAGTTATATGGGGTATGATGAGGATTAAGTATTTAATGAGTAAGTATAAAAGTATTTTCATGGCTGTGCTGAGCCATGAGAATAAAGATCACTCTAGCACTAGCCCTAGTGCTATACTCTTTGAGGAACAAACAAATTAAGCCTAAGAATAAAATTTACTACTTTGTCACACCATTTCAGAAATCAGAAGAAAAGGATCTTTTAGAGTTTTAGTTCCTATTGAATCTTTATTAACAGTTAATTACATTAATTTTTAAGCATTTATGTTTTATCCTTATACAGATACTGCTTTGCACTATTGCATAAAAATATAAAGTCTTTCAGCTCTTCTCATTCATTTTTGCATTAAAAAAAATTCTTGATTTCTTACCTGCAAACTCTGATCTTATGTAATTTATAAACAAATTAAAGCATGAAAGCTTCAATTAAAAAACAAAAGAAAAGGAGTGAAACAAGAAAATCTGGTGTGTCAATATCTGTGTCTCCTCTCTGTACTGCATGAGTGATCCATTTTACAAGTTCAATTTCCTGACCTTAGCTTTGCTAAACTAGAATCTTATTGCCAAGACCCAGATAAGCTTTTGTGATCCAACCATTTGTTAGCATGTAACTCAAACTGGGTTCAGGGTCCTGTCTTACCCTTTCAGTGATTTCTTCTCTAAAACAAAAAAAGAGCGACATCTTAGTTTCGAAGTTGGAAGAAAAATTAATAACCTTCAGGAGACTCTAAATGTTAGCCCATTTTTAATCACTTTTTCCTTTAAATTGTAGGTAAGAAAGAGGCTGAGAGACAAACAAGGGAATGAGAGAATGAAACAGCCATTTCTTTGAGACAGCAGCTATTATTTTTTTGTAGTTAAATTTTATTTTGTTTCTCATATAGCTAACATAGCTAATATTAGGTCTCTTAAACTTTTTTTCTTTCTGGACAGAGGGTGATGCTTATATGCTGAATGAAGATGAAGTGTTTCAATTTTATCGTGAGGCATGCCAGGCAAGGTCAACTCAAAGGAACAAAATTCAATTCTTCAGATTACACACAGGTACAATGGAAACATGTTTTTAATTTGGTGTTCTGGGTAATTCAGAGATAAGAAATAACTTTTATAGAACTACTGTAAAAAAAATCTCTTAAACTGCTCAAAGTGGTTCCTGTGTTTCTGAAGTACAAAACTTCTGGACCATTTAGCCTGGTGCCTGGCATAGCCTCACAGTGTCTCTTAAAGCTGCAGTTAAAGAACTGTAAGTTTTCATACTGGAAAGCGTTGTTTCTCTGTAAATCAGAGTGATTTAAAGGTAAACATTTCTAAGAATAGTACAGTTTTATTTAAATGGCTTTGGAAGTGTTCTGACTCAGGCCAAGAAAAGAGTAAAATTGCTGATGGGTTTTTTTTGGCATATAGTGTGTACCATAAAAATCATCTGCCTAAAGAAGCTCTTAACATTTCCACGTTTATTTCCTGGGTAAAATTACTGAAATGGTTTTAAACATAAAAATCACTCTTTGTCTTATCCATTGATATCTGCAATCTACACCAGTATTTGTAGCACAGCATATTTCTGTGAAAATTCTCACATCTTCATAGCTCATATAATAGGCAGCAGCATATTAACTACTGTTCTTCACATCAAAAATACTTGTTTCTAGGAAGATCTGAAAGTATTGAACATACTGGGAGACATAAAAGGGATGCAATAAAAACAGAGAGTAATGAACATAAATCCCAGGCTGGACTTTTTTTTTATCAGAGATGTAATTTGCATCAGAGTTGGATCTAACGCCTCCTTCATGTTCTGTGGAAGAGAAAATGTGCTGACATGAATGACAATTCATGGGAATGCAACTTGCCTGACTTGTAGGTCCATTAAAGTGTTGTCTGCCTTCTGTGACAGTAAATTTCACCACTGGCCTCTTATGGAAAGCCAGTTTGAGTGAGATTTTTCCATCAGTCTTCCCATCAGTTTCTTGTTCAGATGAGGAAGCCACTCACTTTTGGGCAAGAGGGCTAAAGTGAGCTTTCTTACTGTTTGTGTAAGCATTTTGACATTTCTTATGTGGAATTTCAGATGTACCTAAAGAGCATAAATTTGACTCTTGAACCACTCTTGCAGAAGCCAAGAATAAAAAAAGCTAAAATGCATCCTTTTTAAAATAAAAAATAAAAAATGGCTAAAATGCATCCTTCATTCTAGAAAATTGGAATTGAAGCACTAGATTTAAAATAAGGAGTTTGCATAAGTTCTGTGTATCATACTGCCTCCTATTATGGTGGTCTGGTATAATCAGTAACAAAACAAATAACTTCCAGCTGTCATGAAACTGGGCAATTTTTCATAGGCCTTTTGGTACTAAATACATGATGGATTAAGTCTGCCTATGCTTCTTTGCAGTATAATTTTTTAGAGTAGATATAATATTTGGTTGTTGTTTTATTTCTTAGGCTTTGTTTTACAAGTTAGAGGCACTGATTTTATATTCATTGCAGTTATTTGCCTCTATCAGACCACAAATAATTTTACATGCAGTTATTTGCCACTATCAGACCACAAATAATTTTACATGCCTTTCTTTACATCAGCAAGAAAGGGACTAGCCTAAACCAAGGTTTTTTATTGCAATGTGAAAGAAAGATGGGAGATGAGGAAGACAAAGTTGGACCTTATCTAGTTTTTATTGCAAGCCACGGGTAAGTATTGTCTGAATTTTAAAGAAATCACTAAATCAGAATATAAGCATAGGATTTTCCCTTTTCCAAGGG